CCCGAACATGCAGGGTACCCATCTTGTAGTGCACCGTCTCCCGGGCGGTGTGACCAGAAAGCGCCAACCACGAGGCATATACTAGAAGAGTTCTCGGTGCGAGCGTCGCCCCTGGGGGGCGACGCACACATAGTATTAGAATGTTGGGGTGACGCCGAACCCTGGGGAATGTCGTGTGCCAACAGTCGTCGAAACACCAGCACTGTCTCGGTGCTGGTTGTGGTCGACGTCGGCGTCCCAGGCGGCCAAGATCGACCACAAAACCACAGCCAGAGGGCTCACGTCGAGGTCTGCGGGAATACCCCCCGAGGGGCCCTCCAGACAAATCAATTTCGTTGTGGTTGTGGTGCTTTGTCGTGCCTGGACCTCGGCGCCAGGAGCCACTCGCAGCGCCAGTGCTCCGAGGTCGCCCCGCGGCACCACCAGCGCGCGGCGTACTCTCGGCGGTTCAAAGGGCGGGGCCCTGAAGGATAGGGCCTGAGGGATGAGGGGCAAACACTGCAAACTCAACACAGGAGCCATTCCTGTCCTCCTCCTCCTCCTCCTTCTCCTCCTCCTCCTCCTCCTCCTCCTCGGCCCCCTCCCGCAGGGCCCCATCTTCGAGCCGCCGATCTTCGAGGTTGGGCAGGAAGCGCGGCCGGGCGGACAGGTTCGGCGTGCCGGCGTGCCAGGTGCGGTTGTCCCGCACGATGGCGCAGCCGGCCGGCAGGGGGGAGAGAGTGAGGAGCTTCCAGTCTTCGTTCTCCTCGCGGTCGGGCGGCGGCGAGAACCTCCCCGGCGGGAGGCGGTGCGTGCCAGGGATGATGCGCATGGGCCCGTTCTCCCATGTCAGGGGGCCGACGGTGAAGTTCACGGTGACCACGGGAGGCTCAGGTCTGTCGTGGCTGCCAGGTGCGTTGAGGTCCCTGTGCAAGTCCTGGTAGCCCTCCACGCCCTCGATCACAAAGTCGCCGCCGGCCCCAGCGCACACGTAGTTTCCCTCCCCGAACACATGGTCCAGCACGGGCACGACGGCCTCATGGTCGGCCAGTAGCGCCCACTCCTCTGCGTGCAGGAGGTGGCCCGTTCTCTGCTCGGCTTCACGCAGGAGTGGCCCAGGGCAAAAGTGACCTCTGGTGCGCGGCTGCCGGGGGGCACAGGAGGGGGGGGGCCAAACTGAGCGCGCAAGCCGCTGCTATCGCACCGCATCCAAGGACCGTGTGACGGTAGTGATGAAGAAGGTGATGCTGATACTGATGCTGGTGATGATGATGATGATGTTGATGGTAATGTTGATGATGATGCTGATAATGATGCTACTGGTGATCATGGTGATCGTGAGTGTGATGGTGATGGTGATGGTGACGGTGATGGTGATGATGGCGATGGTGATGGTAATGGTGATGGTGGTTGTGATAATGATGATGATGCGGATGATGATGGGGGGGTGATGACAATATATCTATATGTAAAGTCGTAAAAGTAGGAGTAGTAGGAGTAGTAGGAGTAGTAGTAGTAATAGTAGTAGTAGTAGTAGCAGTAGTAGTAGTAGTAGTCGTCGTAGTAGTCGTAGTAGTCGTAGTAGTCGTACTAGTCGTAGTAGTCGTAATAATCGAAATAGTAGTAGTAGTAGTAGCAGTAGTAGCAGTAGTAGTAGTAGTAGTAGTAGTAGTAGTAGTAGTAGTAGTAGTAGTAGTAGTAGTAGTGGTAGTAGTGGTAGTAGTAGTAGTAGTAGTAGTAGTAGTAGTAGTAGTAGTAGTGGTAGTAGTGGTAGTGGTAGTAGTAGTAGTCGTAGCCGTAGTAGTAGTAGTAGTAGTAGTGCCAGTAATGTTGTAAATACTAGTAGCCACTAGTTGTAAAGATGCGAGTTATAATAACATATATATATATATATATATTGAATAAGAATGCATGATGCTTATACGAACACAAACTGTTAGATTACTATTGATAATAGAAACCTAGCACCCCGCAGACGCGGATAAGAGTGCGGGGGCAGCGGAGACGACTGCAGTCTGCGAGGATCCGACGAAAGCCGCCGCAAACGCCAAATTGTCACAAATTATACCAGGAGCCCGCCGCTGGCGCCGATTTTTCGTTAAAGAAATGTGGGTGAGTCGCAGGGTGGGTCGCAAGTGGGTCGCGCGTGGGTCGCGGGTGAATCGCGGGTGGGTCGCGGGGTCGCGGCCCAGGTCGCGGGCGAGTCGCGGGTGGGTGGCGGATGGGTCGAGGGTTGGTCGCAGGTGGTCGCGGGTGGGTCGCGGGCGGGCCGCGGGGTGGGTAGCGAGCGGGTGGGTCGCGGGCGGGTCGCGGGGTGGGTCGCGGAATGGGTCGCGGGTGGGTCGCGGGCGGGTCGCAGGGCGGGTCGCGGGGCGGGTCGCGGGTGGATCGCGGGCCGGGTCGCGGGGAAGACGACGCCAAACAACAACAACAACAGCAACAGCAACAGCAACAACAACAACAACAACAACAGCAACAACAACAACAACAACAACAACGACAACGACAACGACAACGACAACGACAACGACAACGACAACGACAACGACAAAAACAACAACAACAACAACAACAACAACAACAACAACAACGACAACAACAACAACAACAACGACAACAAGCATTCTAAGACTGTTCGCTCTTACTTGCCCACGTGTCATTCAAAACGAAATCCCCACACCCTCGATACACGGCCTTTTGTCTTCGATCGCACCCCCTTTGGGGGGATTCTTTCTCTTTGCGGGGGGCGGCGGGCTTAGACAGGCGGGCAAACCTGAAGGGGCGGACAATCCTTCGTGGGCGTACATGTGCCCGAGGTTGGATTTGGTGTGGGCCCTGCGAAACGAGGGGGGGAAGAGAGAGAGAGTGGGAGGAAGGGGGGGGACGAAGGAAGAGGGAAAACGTCAGGAGAGAAGGAGCGAAGAGGGGGGCGGTTGATGAGGGGCAGAGAACAAGAGAGAAAAAAAAAAAAAAAGGTAGAGAAGGAGAGAGTGAGAGAGAGGGAAAAGAGAAAGAAAGAAAAAGGGAGGGAGGAGGCAGGAGAGGGGAGGGAGAAAGGAGGAGGGAGAGGAGGGAGAGGGGATAGGGCAGAGAGGCATAAGGATGAGGGAAGAGAGGAGGGAGAGAGAAGGGAGGAGAGGAGGGAGGAGGGAGGAGGGAGAGGGAGAGCAGCAGGAAGGTAAGAGCGTGAACGTTCGAGGAAATCCTCGGCGAGAGCGCCGTTCCTGAGGAAGTCTCGGGCGGGAGCCCACGCCGGGCGGGCGATCCCCTGACGGGCGGGTCGGGCGGGTGGGACATTCAAGCGGGATGCCTGAGTATTGCGAGAGCGCGATTACTAAGTAAATTGTAACGGCGTCCTTGGCGCAGCGTGTTTCCTGAGCGTCGAAAGAGCGATGTCTGAATAAATTGCATGGAAGTCACAGGCGAGAGCGCAATTCCTGAATAAAGTGTGAAGGGTTCTCTGGCGGGAGCGGGGGTCTTGAACAAATTGCGAGGAGTCTTGATTCAATCGCGAGGAAGTCTCAAGCGGGAGCGCCGTTCCTGAGTAAATTGTGACGAAGTCTCAGATGGGAG